TGGGCTTGAAGCAATCCTCCTGCCTCAGCCTCCTGAGTAGCTAGGACTTCAGGCACGTGCCACCATACCCGGCTGATTTTTCTATTTTTAGTAGAGACAGGGTTTTGCTCTTGCTCTTGCTCAGGCTGGTGTTGAACTCCTGAGCTCAAATGATCCTCCTGTCTTGGCCTCCCAGAGTGCTAGGATTATAGGCATGAGCCATCACACCTGGCGGTTTTTACTAGGTCTTAATATCAGGTGGTGTTAGTCTTTTAGTTTTTTTTTATATTTCACATTTGTTTTGGCTATTCTAGATTTAGGAATTTCCATATAAATTTTAGAATTGGCCTGTCAATTTCTAAACAAAGACAGCATTATTTTATAATTTTAAGTTTATAAGTCTTGCCCATTTTTTGCCAGATTTATACTTAATTTTTCATGTTTTTGATATTATTGTAAATAATAATGATATCAATTGAAAGGTTTTTTTTGCTAGAATATAGAGATAAAATTGAATTTTGTATGTTGACCTTTTATTCTGCAACCTTGTTAAACTCCATCAGATTTTCAGCATAGGTTATCATGTTACCTGTACACAAGGATAGCTTTGCTTCTTTTTTTCTAACATGAGTGTCTTTTGTTTCTTTTTCTTGCATATTGCACTGGCTAGAATCTCTAATACCGTGCTGAATAGAGGTGGTGAAGGAGGATATCCTTGTTTTGTTTCTCATCTTAGGTGAAAAATATTTACTTTTTCACCATTAAACTATGGTATTAACAGTAAGTTTTTCTTAGATGGTTGTTATCAGATCAAGGAAGTTACCTTAATTTCCTAGTTACTGACAGTTTTCATTAGGAGTGGATGTTGGATGTTTTCTGAGGCTATTGAGACAATCATATGTGTTTTGTAAAATTTTGTTAATATGAAGAATTGCATTGATTTTAATCATATTTTAAACACTTCTTTTTTTTTTTTTTTGAGACAGAGTCTCACTTTGTTGCCCAGGCTAGAGTGGGTGCCATGGCGTCAGCCTAGCTCACAGCAACCTCAAACTCCTGGGCTCAAGCGATCCTCCTGCCTCAGCCTCCCAAGTAGCTGGGACTACAGGCATGTGCCACCATGCCCGGCCAATTTTTTCTATATATATTAGTTGGCCAATTAATTTCTTTCTATTTTTAGTAGAGACGGGGTCTCGCTCTTGCTCAGGCTGGTTTCGAACTTCTGACCTCAAGCAATCCACCTGCCTCGGCCTCCAAGAGTGCTAGGATTACAGGTGTGAGCCACCACGCCTGGCCCCATATTTTAAAATATTAAGCCCATTTTGCATTTCTAAGATAAATCCCATGTAATTATGATTTGCTGTCTTTATATGCTTGGGTTTGGTTTGCTACATTTTTTTTTTTTTTTTTTTAGAATTGTTGTAGATGTGTTCATGAGGGATATTGGTCTGTAATTTTCTTTTCTTACAATATCTTTCTCTGATTTTGGTATCAGGATACTGGCTTCATAGAATGAGTTGGGAAGCATTTCCTCTGTGTTTTCTGATCAGTCTGGCTAGAACAAGAGTTGGTAAATTATGACCCATGTGCCAAATCCTACCAGCCACTTCTTTTTCTATGGCCCACAGCTAAAAATGAGTTGACATTTTTAAATATTTACATTTTAAATGTTATATATATATACCTTAGTAATACGCTTTATTTTGCCTGTTGTCCTGCACAACCTAAAATATTTACTATTTGGCTCTTTAGGAAAAAGTTTGTCAATCTTAATGATTTTTCTGAACTAGTTTTTAGTTTCATTGGTTTTTCTCTATTGGCTTTCTTTTTTTCCATTTCATTGATTTCCTCTCTGATCTTTATTATTTGCTTTCTTCCACATACCTGGGGTTTCATTTGTTCTTTTTTTCTTAGTTTATTAAGATAGAAGCTACAAAATATAATCTGCAATAAATCCTATTCATATTTTTCATTCAGGCATTATAGTTTTCATCTCCAGAAGTTCAATCTGGATCTTTATTATATCTTCCCTGTCTCTAATTTTTGAACATAAAAAACACAGTCATAACAACTGTTCTTTGGTAGGATCAGGGACTGGTCTCACCCAATCCTGTATGAATGCCAAGTATTATTTTCCCTAATCCTTTTTACAGATTTCTTCCCATAGACTTGAGTACTTTCCTTACCTGCATGTGCTGGTCAGTATACTGCTGATTCTCAAGTGTTACCTCTGCATATCTCCAGAGCTCTGTCTTTATTTAGCATTCTCCTCTATAGTACTCTGTCATCTGAACTCTAGTTGTCTTGGTCTTTTTAGATTTAGCTCCATTTCTTCAACTCAGGGAATTTGCTAGGGTTTACCTGGATTCACCCTCTTTATACTGTAGTCTGGAAACACTCTCAAGGCTGTAAGCTGGGGCAGTCATAGGGCTCTCATTGTTTGTTTTCCTTCCTTGGTGATCACTGCCTTTTATTGCCTCATTCTACTTTTTTAGACCATTTTATACATTTCTCTGGATTTTGAGTTGTTTTAGGCAGGATGGTAAATCTAATCTCTTTTATTCCATCTTGGCCAGAAGCAGAATTCTTACATATCTTTTGCATAAAGAACATGTTAATAAAGCATTACATTCCCTGAGTATTGAGAAAAGAGACTGTTCATGTAGACTCTTTTCTGGATGAGGTTTAGAAAAAACATTTGTCTTGTATTTTTTTTTTTTTTACTTTGGTTTCTCCAGTACTTTTCTTTATCTATAGCTTCTTCACAGATGGATTAGACTATTAGATATAATAATATAATATAATCACTAGTTCCATTATGTTTTATTGGAATTAGATTAGATTTAGTACTTAATGGAAATCTGCTGAAAAGATTATATGCTATTTTTTATGCCTGTTTTGCTCCTGATATTTATTCTATGAATATATGAAGAAATGAGATAAAAAGGAAAACATAGACATAATCTTTCTACTGTCTGAATTTTTCTGTCACTAAAGCATGTTCTGAAAAAGGACATTCTTATCCTATGGCATATTGCTACCAAAATAAATCCCAAGAAGTAGAAGTTTTATTCTGTTTTCAAAATGTTTCCTAGAAACCAGCCATCTAATTCTGAAAGAGATTAAGAGCCAAGTTTTAAAAACTATATGCCAGGACATGCCTCATTTGTGAATGTATGTGTGCTCAAAAATTGGATAATTGTGCACCTAACTACTGTATTCATTTTATCATTATTCACTTTGTGCTTATACAAATGAAGGCTTTTTCATTCATATAATGTATAGTTGGACAATGGTTTTTTTATGCTATTCAATATTAATATATATGATTTTATAGGAACTTATAAGATGGTTCAAATTATTCTGATATAGCTATAGCAATAGCTATTTTACTAACCATGTATTCTGAAGTAGGATAAGTAATCCACAACAAATAAAAATGTTAGAGAAGTCATAAAAAATCCTACTACTATACCAGAGTCTTTACATCAAAGGACAGTGTTGACATCTGAATTTAAGTTGTGCCAATAATAATTTTAAAATTATATTCCCTTAAACTGATTGTGGTGGTAAGAAAAGATATCCAAGACTTCTTAAAATTACGTCTTATCTCTAGAATGGTTAAGTTCAGATATGATAGCCTTGATAAAATTTATTGCCAGAAACTGTGCTAAGTACTTTTATAGATATTTTCTCATTTAAATTTGAAAGAAAAATCAGCCATTATTTAATTTGCACAATGGTTTTGCAAAAGGGATATATACATACATATGTATGTATTAGTTCCCTATTGCTTCTGTGACAAATACCATAAACTTGGTGGTTTAAAACAACAGAAATGTATTCTCTTACAGTTTTGGAGGCCAGAAGTTTGAAATGAGTTTCACTAAGCTGAAACCAAGGTGTCAGGAAAGCTGCATTCCCTAGAGAAGCTCTAGGATAGAATCTGTTTCCTTGCCTTTTCCAGCTCCTAAGGACACATTGCTCGTGGCCCTTTCCTCCATCTTCAAAGCTAGGAGCCACATAACCATTTCCTTTTCTATAGTAAAATCTCCTAACTCCCTGTAAGAAGGACACTTGTGATTGCAATTATGGCCTGCTGGAAAATCCAGAACAATCTCCCAATCTCAAAATCCTTAATTACATATTCAAAGTTTCTTTTGCCATATAAGGTAACATTCACAGGTTCCAGGGATTAGAATGTAGATATCTTTGAGGGACCATTGTTCAGCCAACCACAGAACTTTATATATGTATGTCAAAATTTAGTCCAGAATACTACCAAAAGTCACATAAAAACAAAACATGTTAGAAAAAGAACAGTTTGGAAAGAAGCTAAACAGATAGGTTGATAATTTAATCAAAAGGTCTTAGAGTCCTTTGCTATGTGTCAATATTTTATACTAGTGAGTGATGTTTTTTGTTGCTGATAGAAACAACATTAACCTTCAATTCTTTTTCTAATATATTTCATCTTCTACTCTTTTTCTTCTGTATAAAACAAATGCTTAGTAATCTAAGTCATGAATTTATGAATTGAAATCCAGATTTATATAGCCTGATATTGTGATTAATTTAGAAATACTTTGTATTTGACATTTGAGCATGTCCACAGACACATGTTCAGATATGTGCTTTCTTATTCCTTCTAAACCTTTCCTCACTCTTTCCTTCACTTTTGTTATGCTCAACATAATGATGAATTGACCAAGTTGCCACTAATAGTGGTGCTCTAAGTAATAGGAGAACAGGTTTTTAGGAAACAGATCTAAAGGTTTCTTAACGTCTAGAAGCCCATATATTTCTGAACTAGATTATTATTTTCTGTTTTTGTTTATCATCATTTCATTTTTTATGACTAATTCTATACCTTTGAAGAGAAAATTTTATTTGGTACTTCTTTTATGCTATATGGCTCCATAACTTGTAGGGTTACCAGTACATATGTTTTAGCAAAGTAAGCTTGTATTTTGTTGCATAATTTAAAAGTTAAATATTTCATTTTCCTCCCTGAACTACAGGATACCAGAAGGTCCCATTGATCAAGGACCAGCTACAGGAAGGGTACGTGTTTTAGAAGAGCAACTTGTTAAGGCCAAAGAACAGATTGAAAATTACAAGAAACAAACCAGAAATGGTAGGTGATCATGCAGTGTTTTTCCTCCTTAGTTTATTGGCTTTAGCACAAATAATTGAAAACTTCCTTTTATCAAAATGTTGGCAATATTTCTACTCTCTATTCTTTGACTGCAGGTCTGGGGAAGGATCATGAAATCCTGAGGAGGAGGATAGAAAATGGAGCTAAAGAGCTCTGGTTTTTCCTACAGAGTGAACTGAAGAAATTAAAGAGCTTAGAAGGAAATGAACTCCAAAGATTCGCAGATGAATTTCTTTTGGATTTAGGACATCATGAAAGGTACTGTGTTCTCCCTTTACATTTCATCTGGGCCTTAGAAAAGATTGTAATCTAACACAAGAAACTGAAACTTTTGTTAATATCCCTACTAAGTAGTAAATGATACCTACCATGTGTTAGAGCAAGAGAGTACCAGAGGTCTCAAAGGATAGGAATTGCCAAATACAGTTCATCAATCAAAATATATCACCAAAAATATTATTTAAAATGTATTTCTAGAAATCTTTATACCCTAAATAAACCCTAAAGGTATTGGTTTCAGCCAACAATATATTAAAATATTTTTCTATAAATTTTGTTCATATATAATCAATATTTGAAGAAGAACATGCAGTTTTACACTGCAGTATGTTGGAACTCATGCTGAGGCTGGCAGTTATGTTTCTAATTCAAACATTAAAAACTTTAAACTAGCACCTTTTTAGGATTTCTGATTAAAGGTTAACAGGTTTTTGATAATATGAAACATTCTATTATTTGTTCTTCCATTTAGTTGCTAGAAAGAGGAACCTGAGATCTGCCTCATTAAGTTTGTTTCTCCTATTTACACATTGCTAAATAATGTGCAGTTTATCTTCCATAGAAAAGAAAATATTTTGCTGCTGGTGTATTCATGCAGAACAAAATGTATCTGATAATCATTATAAATACAGTGAAACCTGTCCTTAGGCCTATTATATTTAAAAGTCTATGTTCCCAGTAGAATTCTGATGGCAATTACTGTCTGATAAAAGAAAAATTGTTGTATTTGTACAACTTACCACTGTGAAGAGGAAAAGAATTACCCCATATAAATAATAGATGAATATATATTAACATCACCAGCAATATTATAATGATTTTGAAAAATTGTTCTGTTTAAATGAAATTATAAATCTATTCAGTTTATTGGAATCATTTTAGCATTAATAAATCTATAGAAATATGATAGCATGGAATTCAAGGACCATTGAATGATTAGGCCATACATTAGGCGGCTCCTTTGATATTTGTAGCTCAGCTTGCAGTCAGGCCACTTAGACCACTAGACCAAATACTGATTTTGTCCTTAATACTTCTCTCCCCTAAAGCTGATTCTAGACACCAAGGTACTTTGTACTTGTGTGCTTTGCTTATTGCAGTTTTATAGAAAAATACAGATCTAAAGAGGATTTGACTTGCGTAGAATATGTGGTATGAAAGGAGAATTTTGGCTCTTAACTTCTGATGGAATGTTTAATTTTAAGGTTTGAATGATTTAATTAATACTTGAGAATTGAATTTTTCTAAATTAAAGTAATTCTTTAAAGAATTATTTTGCAAATATAATTTATACATATAATTTGAGCATATACTTTGTGACTATATATACAAATGAAAAGTGAATATAATTAAAGGACCCCTGAAAAATTGATGTAAATTAATGTTATATTTTTAGTTAGATGAAATCTATTTTAAATGTATTATGATTCCTGACAGTGCCATTTAGTACATGTTAAATAATATTTTCCTGAAAACAAAAATGGAAAGCAAAAGTACCAAAGTCAATTTATTTTTCTGTCTTAAGCAGAAATGATAGTGAATCTGGGATATAACTTCATAGCGTAGTAATTTAACTTCAGGAAGCCAGATTAGAATGTAGTAATACAAATAATGGGCAAAATACAACCAAACATTAGATAAATAACCTTTAAACAAATGAATGTATAAATAGAAGGATTTGTATTATATAGACTATACCTGCTTACTGACCATTTTCAAGATTTTTAAGTATATGAATTAAAATTAGGCCAGGTGCAGTGGCTCACAGCTGTAATCCTAACACTCTGGGGGACCGAGACAGGAGGACCACTTGAATTCAGGAGATCGACACCAGCCTGAGCAAGAGCGAGACCCTGTCTCTACTAAAAATAGAGAATTAGCTGGGCATGGTGGTGTGCACCTATAATCCCAGCTACTCAGGAGGATGAGGCAGGAGAATTGCTTGAGCCCAGGAGTTTGAGGCTGCAGTGAGCTAGGCTGACACCAGAGCACTCTAGCTCAGGTGACAGAGTAAGACTCCATCTCAAAAAAAATAAATAAATAAAATTAAAATGAGCTTTTATGTTTGCCTCTGGTGATTTTTATGACGCAAAAATTTCAATTTTACATTTGCTCAAATTAAAGTGTTTAGGTTGTGTCTAGACTGAAAGCATGTATTTTCTGAGAAATCAGTTAGAGGGTGCATCTTACCAACTTTCTTGTTAGATTGCCCTATGAACCATTCATATTTTGGGTTCATAGAGACATCAATTACAGGGAAAAACACTTACATGCTTTTGTTTCTTTATTTTTCTAGCTTTATTGAAATATAATTGACAAAAAATCATGTACATTCAAGGTACAGTGTACAATGTGATGGTTTGAGATATATTAAACATATATACACATACATTGTGTAATAAATGCCACAGTCAACTTAATGAACACATCCTTCATCACACATACTTACCAGTTTTGTGTTTTTGTGTGATGAGGACCCTTAAGATCTACTCACTTAGCACATTTCACAAATTTCAAGTAAACAATACAGTATTATGAACTATTGTCACTGTGCTATTCACTGGATCCCCAGAAATTTATTCATTCTATAACTGAAAGTTTGTATTATTGACCAACATTTTTCCATTTCCCCCATTGGGATTGCCATTTCCCCCCTGGCAATCACCATTCTACTCTCTGGTTCTATGACTTTGAAGTTTTTAGATTCCACACATAAGTGAAATAATGCAGTATTGTAGTATTTATCTTTCTCTGTCTGGCCTATTCATTTGGCGTAATACCCTCCAGTCTCATCCATGTTGTCACAAATGCCAGGATTTCCTTCTTTTTTTCCTTTGTGTATGTGTATGTGAGTGTCTACATATATATCCCACATTTTCTTCATTCATTGGTTGATGAACACTTAGGTTGTTTCCATATCTTGGCTATTGTAAATAATGTTGCAATGAACATGGACATGCAGATGTATGTTAAAGATACTGATTTCATTTCTTTTGGTTATATACCCAGAAGTGGGATTGCTAGATCTTATGACAGTTTTGTTTTTAGTTTTTTGAGTAAATTCCGTATTGTTTTCCACTGTGACTGTGCCAATTTACATTCCCACCAATACTGCATATATAAGGATTCACTTTTCTAGACACCCTCTCCAACACTTGTCTTTTTTTTTTTTTTTTTGAAGCAAGAATCTCACTCTGTTGCCTGGGTAGGGTGCAGTGGCGTCATCGTAGCTCCCTGGAACCTCAAACTCCTGGGCCAAGTGATTCTCCTGCCTCAGCTTCCTGAGTAACTGGGAATATAGGCACGTGCCTGTCTTTTTTGATAACAACCATCCTAACAGGTGTGAGATGATGTCTCACTGTGTTTTAATTTGTATTTCCTTAATGAGTAGTGATGTTGAGGACCTTTTCATATACCTGTTGGCCATTTGTATGTTTTCTATGGAATAATGCCCATTCAGGTTCTTTTCCCATTTTTAAATCAGTTTATTTTTTTGGTGTGAATTCCTTATGTATTTTGATACTAACATGTATCAGATTTATACTTGCAAGTCTTTTCTCCCATTCCATAGTTTGCCTTTTCATTTTGTTGGTTGTTTCCTTTGCTGTGCAGCTTTTTTGGTTGATGTAGTCCCACTTGTTTATTTTTGCTTTTGTTGTCTGTGCTTTTGGTGTCATATCGAAAAAATTGCCAGGACTAACATCATGGAACTTTTGCCCTATGTTTTCTTCTAGGAGTTTTGTGGTTTCCAATCTTACAGCTAACTTTCTAATTCATTTTGGGTTATTTTTGTATATGGTATAAAACAAAATTTATTTATTGAATATCCAATTCCATTCTTTACATGTGGATATCAACTTTTCCCAGCACTATTATATTAATGAAGACACTATTGTTTCCCCTGTTTTGTATTCTTGTCACCCTTGTCAAAGATTAATTGACTATATATGTGTAGGTTTATTTCTGGGCTCTCTATTGTATTCCATTGGTCTGTCTGGTTTTATGCCAGTATCATACTATTGTGATCACTATAGCTTCGTATTAATATAGTTTCAATCAGGAAAGGTGATTCTTCTAGGTTTGTTCTTTTTGTAGTTTTCTTTGGGTATTTGGGATCTTTTATGATTCCATATGAATGTTAGGATTTTTTTTCTATTTCTGTGAAGAATGCCATTGGAATTTTTTTAAATTTTGTTTTAAGAGATGGGTCTCTTTATGTTGGCTAGGCTAGAGTGCAACCATTGGAATTTTGATAGAGATTGCATTGAATCTGTAGATCATTTTGGGTAGTATGAACATTGTAATAATATTAATTCTTCCAATCCATAAACACAGGATATCTTGCTATTTCTTTATGCCTTCTTAGATTTATTTCATAATGTCTTATAGCCTTATAGATCAGTATATAGATCTTTCATCTCTTCTTGGTTAAATTTATTGCTAAGTATTTATTCTTTTGATGCTATTATAAATGGGATTGTTTACTTAATTTATTTTTTGGATAATTTGTTGTTAGTGTATAGAAATGCAACTAATTTTTTTGTATGTTGATTTTTTTTTGTCTCACAGCTTTATTGGATTTCTTTATTCTAGCAATTTCTTGGTGGATTCTTTAGAGTTTTCTATATTTATGATTATGTCATCTGCAAACAGAGACAGGCTAACTTCTTTTCTGATTTAGATGCATTTTATTTTTCTTGCCTAATTGCTCTGGCTTGGACTTCCAGTACCATGTTGAACACAAGTAGTGAGAGTGGGCTGAGTGTGGTGGCTCATGTCTGTAATCCCAGCACTATGGGAGGTTGAGGCAGGAGGATCACTTGAGGCTAAAAGTTCAAGACCAGCCTGGGTAGCATAGTAAGACCCTGTCACTACAAAAAAATAAGAAAAATGAGCTGGGCATGGTGGCACACACCTGTAGTCCCAACTACTTGGGAGGCTGTGGCAGAAGGATCACTTGAGCCCAGGAGTTCAAGAAT